GACCAACACATCTAAAGACCTTTTTTTTTGCACTGATCTTCAAAGACTTATGGAGATACTCACAAGCCACTGAAGTAAGAAAACCAATCCCGTGATTTGAGTGTGTTTTGGCAAAGTTAAAAATGTATGCATTAAACTTCTTAAAATTTTCCCAAGCTAGAGTTCAGCAATTAAAAAAAAAAAAAAAAAATAGGGTGCTTGATCACTTCCTGCATCTGCTGTAAGTGGGTTTTCTCTAACAGAAACAGCATGAGAACTGGCTCCTGGAGCCACAGTGGAACGAGCAGGATGCCACAGTATGACATGTTAATAATTCAAGAACACACACGGTCACTTTTCATGCTTATCTTCGAAGAAGAATCCTCTATCAGATCTTCTGTTTTTCTGTTCTGACCTCTATCTGGCAAACCCAAGAAGATTTGGAGGAGCTGGAAATGAAGATGAGTTTTGTGGACCAGCATTTAAATGCACGGTGGTGAATGTGCTCACCGTCCCCTTGCAGAGCCATTCTGGCCCACACATTGCAATCAGTCTATTTCTACGATATCTGAAATTTTTGCTTCAACTTCAGTTCAACTAGTGAGCTTTTGCCAAAGTAGACATACCAAGGACTTCAAGATTTTTAGACTGGTCTTTAAAAGCCTATGAAACATCAGAACAAGTTAGCTCCATATTTTAATCTCTTACTGGTATACAAAGAAATCTGAATTCCATTTTATGGCAACCTTTTTTCTTTAATCTGAAGAATTTTGCCTGTTTTTTTAAACAATGATGATGTCTTATTCTTCCATTTAAGGAAGAAGCAGATTCTAAGAGCCTAGTGTCCCTTGGCGTCCTTAATCCTCTTCTGAAAATTTCTGTAAGTGGTAGCTGAGAGGCAACACAGCACATTTTGATAGAGATTAGAGATTTCTGCTCACTGAAAGATGGTACCATAGTGCCAAGCCGTGATCTCATCTCTTCTGTCACACACCAATCGACATTACTGATATTTTATAAGTCCTCAGTGTCTCAAGTGAAGGGGATATGTTCGTGACCACAACAAAGAACATTCATCCTACATAGACTTTCCCTGAAAGAGCTGGGATAAAGGAGAATAAAGAGAATTCTCTCTCGCTTACCAACTGAACCATCTGACCGATGTATTTTCTAGTCACAACACCTAAAACAGCCCTTTCCATTACGTTTCATGCTGTACCATCCTTAATAGACCATTAAGTCATGCCAGGCTGATTTATGTTGTGAAAACTTCCCAGTTCCGAGTGAAATGCATCACAGAGTCACATTTCACTTAAATGTGAATAGACTACATTTAATTAATGAGAAATTTGGAAAATTCCTGGCAGGTGTCTTATCTGTTTGTCTCTTCTCCAGCATAGTAGGGCACTTAAGATTTTGTAACTTGGTCTCCCTTTACTTCTTTAGTTAATTCCAAACACTTGATTTTTATCCAGGTGGCAAAACTGTCCATCTTTTTGCTGCAAGTCACTTCTTTCTGGGAAGGTGAATTATAACATATGACAAAAAACTGAGTAAACTTGACTAGCTGCAAACCAACTGAAATGCAAAGAACTGAATTTTCACTTGGACTTAGTTGAAATCAATTTGCAAACTGAGTAGTCCTCTGCCATCTGAATGACTTTTTGAATTATTATTAAAAAAGTAACTGGGACATCAGACAGATCTTCACAGATCTTCTGTTTGAAGGTCTTCTGTCTCAGAGCAGTATGTAACTGCTTCTAAAATGGGTGTCCCTGTCAGTGGGAATATATGAAACTTCTGGATTCTTCCCAACTATTGTGCTTCTTTTAGCAGCTATTCTCCTGCCCAGCTGCCATAAGAAATACAGCAGAATGCAAAAATGAGAAAATTCATCTGGAAAAACCCATCTAATGAGTGAAATAACTCTAGAAAAGGTCTAAATAGGGATATTATCTTGTTTCCTAAACCCATCTGTTGCAAATCCTGTCAGAAATCTTTTCAAAAGGTTATAAATAAGAGAACATCTATTTTAGAAACGGGCAACGCATTTATTCCTAGCAGCAAAGTCAACCATGATGAATAATCTGGCACAGAGCTGTTAAATTCACCAGCTGCCATCCACCTCGGGCAGCACCATGCCTCATTTTATGTGTAGTCTATACCATTTGTTAATAGCTGCTTGAACCAAAGATGGTCATTGGCAACCTCACTGCTGAATTTTCACTCAAGCTGAAATTTAAATAAAAATGTCACACCTAACAGAATAGAAATATTTGAAACAGCCAAAAACTCACCAGAAAATGAAAATTATTCCATTTGCAACCAGAACTACAATCCTGGAATATTAAAAATTTATTTCTCTACTCTTCAGTGACAAGACATTGGAAAAAAAAAAGAATTGTTTGGTCTTGTTTAAAGCACAATAAAGACAAAACATGTCTGCTTTGAATTAGAGACAGTGATGAAAGGTAGAAGTACCTGGATAATTCTCTGGTGTCACGAAAGAATATAAACTTTTACATAGCTCCCCTACACTTTAACAAATACATAAATATATAAATATACTTCTGTTAAAATGTCAATCTCCTAGAGAGCTGTGAGCTTAATAACATTAAGTAGTGTTTGCTTTAGCTTCCTTTTGGCAAGGAGAGGTATTTTTGCTCTGCCTTCCAGTTAATTTCCTGAAAAAAAAAATGCTACAAAGGCTATTTGACTCATCATTCTTGTCAAATGACAATTTTAACAGAGGATCACATGCGTTTCTTGGTGGAGAGGGAAGCTACTTTGGTTTGCCTTACCAGGCTTTAAATTTAAAAAAATAAACAAACAGGTTAGGTAGCTTTGCCTGCTTTGCCTGCTCTTGAGTGGAACAGAGCTATGAACTGTAGAAAACAGTTTGATTTCAGGCACTTAAGCACAAAAGTCCATAAAGGTAGACACTATCATTGTCTGCAGGTACAGGATCTCATAAAAGTGATTGACAGACACTGATCTGCTCCTACACAGCAATCATGACATACAGAACTCCCATACAAGTGTGTATGCCAAATATCTTTGGGGTTGGATTTATTTACTCAACAATCTTTTCACAAGTCACAAAGATAATTTTGAAATTAAATTATTTCACCCAGAGAATAATTATTTTTAGATCAACCACTCTAATTTTAGTTTCCTGAATAAATTATCTAAAAGAAGAATGTTCTCTTGCAACGAAATAAAATAGCCTAGACAGGGAATATGTGAAATTGAGCACAGCATGATCACACAAAGGGATCATATACCTGGACATAAAGTAACTGGAGACCAAGAGCTGCTGTATAAGCTTTGGAGATGGAATCAGGGATGACTCAATGGCCTGAAAAGTCTTAAAAAAGAATCAGTGCTCTGAAATGAGACACCATCAACACCACTGAAACCTATCATTTTCTTGTGAATCTCCAGTCATCTGTTTCATGGGGCTTTCACACAGCCTGAAACAGTCTCTACTTTGTGATTTTTTTTTTCTTGCCTTTTTTTTTAAAAGCCAGTAAAGTGAGAAAAATACCTAGAAGTAAAATAGTTTTAATCTCATGGCATTTCTTAGTGCATGAAGAAGCAGCATCCCCTGACATGAAAGATTTATCTTAAAAGCACACTAAATTCATACTCCACTTTCTAAGAAAAGGAAAATTTTCTTGCAAGTTTACTCCATTTTTACCCTGCTACAACTCTTGGGAGTTAATTTCTTAAGAACCAGCGTAATGCCAAAGCAATACAGCAGTGATTTGGATTTAAAGCTTGCTATCAAAACCCCAAGCAGAGAAGAGTGAATTTCTGTTCTGCACAGGGAATTCTCCAGGTTTGGATAAGCCATGCCGTGACTGTGGAGATATTTGGCTCTGCTCTGTGTTTGCTGGTTCAAGCAAGCTAATAAGATGGGATCACCTTAGTTCTGGAAACAGAGGCCTAAGTTGGGTTTTATCTTTTAATTCTGCCAACCTTTCTTCCTCCAAACTTGGAACAGTGAAGAGCTGAGATGACTTCAAACTCACAGACTTTAGTCAAACACATACCTACCAAAAGTTTTGACTAAATAAAAAAAAGATCAAGCCCCTCAGCAATCTCCATAAACAGCAGTACCAACTTTTTACACTAATCCAAAAAAATCAGAGTAACTATATTATTCTGAACGACACACTTAAACACAAACTGCAAAAATCAGAGGGGGAGTGCAACTCATTAAACTAACTCCATACAGGCACAGAATAACCATCCATGAAAGAATATTAAATAGTATGTTCAGGATATTTCTGAACATCAAAAGTGAATTTCAGCTACTGACCATTGCAAAATTTCCATTATGCTAGACTGTATTTTTATACATTTCCACAATTTCAAAGGCATAGGAAAATTTTCAGTGGGAGAATGAAAAATTCAGAGGTTGCCTTCCTCAGGACTTGTTTTTCAAAACAGTCTGCATCCTATACGGCGCATTTCAAACTGCACTCCAAGATGACCCAAAGGCAAAAATCAGTGATGAACTTTCTTAAGAAGCACAGAAATCTACTCCATCCCCTCTTTGATTTCAGGACCACTTCATTTCAGAGCTCGTTGAAAGATACAAGAAAGACAGGACATGCAAAGCCTGTGCTGTTACTGCTGTGCAATAAAAGCAAGATGAGCTGATGGTTTAGGGCCTGGTAGAAGCTCACCAAAGTCAATCCAGTCCTTTCTCTTGATTTAAATGGCTTTTATACCAGGCCCACAAACAGACCATTAAAAACATCTAAATGAGTGACCCACCCCTTTTCTCTGATTGGCACTCGTTGGTGATTTGGCAAAATGAGTTTATACACGACACAGCAGAAAATACAAAGTTCAGAAACAGCACTTTGTCAGTCAAAATCACTTGCCTGGTGTTAGACAGTTACAACTATCAAGCGCTGGCTGCTCATTTCAGCCAGTTAAATGCTGTTGCAAATGAAAGATGAAGCATTGCATGAAGCCATGCTAAAATGGATAGAAGGATGGTTACTTACCAACGGGGCGAGCTGTTGACATTACAATGGTGTAGTGAGAACATAAAAAAGAAATTAAAAAAAGAAAAGAATATCTGTCAGAATGCATGACGTGTAATGTTACCTTCCACTATGGATACTACCATGATTGCTAACCCCTCAAATGACAGCCTAAGTAAAAATGTTTACTGTTGTTATCGTCCAGTCACGTGCCACTATCATCCCATTTACTTGAGCACAGCATCTGAACAAGCTGACTGGAACCATTCTCTGAGAAACATTTTTATTATCTTCGCATGCCATCATCAAGTATCATTGTTAATGCCTGATAAAAGAAAAATTGCATTGCATTAGCACAGACTTTTAGATCCCGATGAACACATCAGTTTAAGCCGCACACTGCTGAATGTCATGCCAGTAGATGCAGGGTCTTTGCTTTCTGAGTCAAATACCAATTGAATTTTAAGCATGACCAGTCAGTACAGCAGTAAGGGCTACAGAAAGCCCAGGACAGTTTTTCTCATTCAATAAGGACATGAAAGCTTACAGCACAGGTTTTTTTTTTCCTCACTGACATTGCTGATGAAAATATAACAAATGGGCTGAAATGGCCTCAGGGACTTCAACCCAGAACCTCCCTAATCACTCCTTAGGTAACTTCTACTTCCTAAAAAAATCGTTGCTAAATGATCGACAGGTTAATACTGTTTCAGGTTGATATCAAGATTGGAAGTTGCTGCTGCAACAAGTGATTTCTTGATTATAGCAACAGTCCTTCATTACACTTGTGCTGGGGAATAGGGCTGCCAGTCCTCCTGTTAATAAAATAGAGACATCCCTTTCAGAAGAGTTGAAAAGTTGCACATAAAATTGACTCCAGGTTGCATCTGTGTAGGCAAAGCTTCCCTTGTTTCAGCAGCAGAAATAGTTACACATTTCTGAGCAACGGCACAATGTTGGTTTTTTTTCTTTTTTAAGAAGATTACCAAGTCTATGTGCTTATGTGCAGCCTAGGGTCAAACATAAGGCATGCAGATTCAGAGGTAACAGAGCATGCAAGGACCTTCTTAGTTCTCCATCTTTCCATGGCTCTATCCCTACTTTGGGATATCCATTTCATTTAACTGTTTCGAGCCTGCTGCCTTTTCTCACCCGTCATCTACTGGAACGCTTACTGGCTATTAGAATTATGAACATATTCCTCCTTCTGCAGAAAGATGAGGTGTAAGTGATATGCATCTTTCCAAGAGAGGGCATGAACTCAGATTCTGGTGTTGTTTGTGACAGTGTAATTCAACCTTCCTATCTGGGAGCTAAGGATTGCACTGCTGTCAGGTCTTTGTATGCAACCACCTGGCACCTGCAAGGACCAAGGCACCCTTAAGGTAAATTTTGAAATGCTAAGTGTTTTTGCTCCTCTACGTGACAAGTGGTTACAGTAAAAGCAGTGTCAGATAAAACTGTGGGAAGTTGAAGAATTCAGAAATTAAAACTTTCCTTAATTAAAAAGACCATTGCTCATGGTCCCTTTAAAGTCAATGGGAGTTTTCCTAGTCCTTTGTTTCCAGAAAATTCAGAGTAATAGACTTCTCTGGTAAATGTCTTCACTTTTCTCATTTTCTGTCATACCCTGAACATTTAATAAGCTTATAATAGCATGGCTTCCTTAGAGTTGGATAAACATTATGTATTTGATTGTAAAGGACAAACCTAGGGGGGAAAATACTGCTTTTATGTGGGAAATATAAATAATAAGATAATAACGATAATAAAAATCTGCTTTTATGTCAGAAAATCGATTAAATTATATATTTCCTTGGGATTTTTTTTCTCCCCCACACTTTTCATTGTGTTTAAGCTTGGGTGATTTCAAAGGATTTTTTGTCTTGGTTCTAACTATTGTTTATATCACAAGTCTGGGTAGCAAATCTGAAAGGCTTACTCCAGTAATGGATACAGTGGACAAAGTTCCAAGGGTGCTTGAAGGCTAGTGAATTGGTTACCAGATTTATGGGATACTGTGATCCTGCCTGTGACAAAGGATCAGAGTGAGACTATCCCTGGGAGTTCACTGTGGTGACTGTTTTCCTCATGTTACAATACAGAGGAACAATCTCTTACATAAGCAGGTAAACCTATTTCTTCAGCTTAAAACTGGAAGAGCTGCATTGTCACTTATGGTTTAAAGTGAACACTGAGGCAGTATTTCAGCAGATGGATTATCACAATACTCTCTTTTCTTTGTTACATACTAAGATCTCTCCCCCTACAAAGCCACTCGGTGCTCCTTTTTTTTTTTTTTCCCTTTGAATTCAGCAAATTAAACTGAACTGTGTCCATGCATTAAATGGATGGAAATGGAAGCTGGCCTCTTGGGTCAGTTGACCCCAGTTCTAATAAAGCAATCCATTGAGACTTTGAACATTTGATTTAATGTGTATGAAAAGAAGAGGACAGATAAAGCTAAAAATGTTTTTATTAACCTTTCACAGCTCTACTGAAAACCGTCAGCATGCACCACTAAACTGTGAAATAGTGTCTGCATGATATCCATTGTGCCAAATTGCTGCTTATCTTTTGGTATGTAGTAATAACTATTATATTCTGTTTACTCATATGGAAATATTAACCTACAAACTTTTTCTCTCCCCATAACCTTTAGCATGTCTGTATCTACTGTCACAAAAAATATTTTGTCAACTCATTATTCTACCATCCTTAAAGCCTCCTCACCAAATCAAACAGCAGCACATAAACTCTGAGTGGCTACTACAGACCACAAATACTTTAGGAGAGAATATGTTAGTCTTTACCTTGCAGTGCTCACAAAATTTAATTAGGATTTTCCCTTTCCTTTGCCTACAGTTTATCTTGCAGATAAAGGGTAATGGTAGAGAGTTTAATTATAGCAGAGCTAATCACATAATAATGTTATCTGCATTATGTTTGCCATTAATATAGTTACAATACTCCTTATACCTCTTAAAGAAAGAAACTTGAATAATGGCCTGAACTGATGGCTCACATATGCCCACGGTTATGTAGCGCTTGCTTATGCATCTGTTCTTCAATAAAAACACATTGGAACAGTTCTTTAACTGCAGGGAGATCCTATCCTATTGAAGCCAATTAAAATTTTGCCTGAGACATCACCAGGACCAGGATTTCACCTACGATGTAAATTCAGCACCGCACCCGCGGTTGCAAAGGGCACGTGAAACCCAAACAACGCCAGGGGAGGGTGTGGCCCGTTCCATCAGGGAGCAATTTACCCATACAGGACACAGGCCCTCCCTCCGTGGGAACACTCACCTCGCACAGTGAGGGTAGCAGAGGCTTCCACTTTTCCGACTCTGTTCTCAGCAATGCAGGTGTAGGTTCCTTCGTCCGTGCTCATGGCTTTCTTAATGCGCAGGGTGTAGTCGTCTTTGATGTCATACCTGTGTGACACAAAAAGAATGAAAACCTGTCTTGCGGACAACAGAAAGGAACAAAAACCACCACCTGGAATACGCCACTCGGAATCTATCTTGGAGCCAACTTTGGAAGATAAATTATTATCTAGCATTAGATGATTCCACCAAGCATTAATCTTCGTGACGTCTTTATTGCACTCTGCATTAGTTAGAAACTTTACATAAAATTAGTATTGCTATGTTCACTCAGTATTAGGGCTTTATTAATAATATCATTCACTTTGTCCTTGATCTAGAGCAATAAGATAAAATTAAGCTATCAGACATCAGTTATCAATACATGACAGCTCAGGTTTATCATGCCTTTAAACTGTGAGAGCTACACGTTTTACCTTCTGCTGATTTGGAAATTTCCCTTTATATACAGCTTTTCCCTACAGCAGCAATCCCTTAGGGAACCATGAGCATGTTGGTAGGATCTCACACTACCCGACTGCAGACAATAAAAAGTATATTCAAGCTCTGGAATGTGACATTTATTGAAGAGGCACATTAAAGCAGATTTATCAATATCACAGAAATACCCCAAAATGATTCATTAAGGGAGGACAATAACATTTTCTCTTTCTTAAAACACATTAGAAACAATTCAATTATGCTTTGTTCATTTCTTTGTTTCTCCTGTTGAAATAATTCTAAAACTATGAGGATGTGTAAAATGTGGATTAATACAAAGTATTCCAACATGCAGCAAACATTCATTCTCAAGGCATTTAAAGTGCTTAAAACCTTGAAAAATATTTTCAGTTAAATTGTTATTATCCTGTAGAAGTCATGCTTAACAAACTATTTTAGGTTCTCATCCAAAGCTCAATAAAGTCAATGGGGGATTTCATCTTGTATGAAATGTATCTGGTCTCCAAATCAGGAAAACACTGAGTTTCAGCATGGATATTTTGATCTTGAAATACTCTCTCAAAAAATTATTTTCAACAACGTTTCTCCTTCACATAGTAAGCCCATGATAAATTAAGTCACCTTGAACCTGAAGTTGGCTTCAGAGTCTCATTTACCAAACAGTGAAATAGGAACGTGAAACTAAAGAAAGATCGAGACTTCAGGAGATGCCAATACTATTTCTCACTGCATTCACAATTGTGACACAACTTCAGAAGGACTGATTTACCCTCTCTTTGCTATGCAGTAAAGAACTTACAGACTTGTTCATATGGAGGAGCACCCTTAAAAGTTTTGATGAATAAGAAAACAATGCAATTACTTAGAGGAATGTTGTCAAAAATCCTCTGTGAGGATTTTTAAATTCTTTGGGAACGTGAAACGTAACTTTTTTTGTACATAATATAAATTGTTATCGGTTCCTTTAATACAGATTTCTAGAGAGAATACTGTGTGCTAACAGACTTTAAAATGTCTTAACTCAAAGGGTCCTATATGTTGAAGCATTTTAGGTCTAATTAGATATCAATTACAACGTTAGTAACAATTCCAAGAATAAAGAGCAGTCAAGACATCTTTTCACACTCACTACAATCCAATACAACTTCATTCTGTATTCAGTAAGTCCATTCTATTAATTGGTAAGAAATAATTTTAAAAAGACCAAATTGTGGTTAACCATTCTGTCAGAGTTAACATAAACACCCAGGAGTTACACTTAATTGTATGTACATGCAGTACCTCAGGTTCAAGTAACAAGTAAAAATTATGCAAAGAGAAAGAATAAGGAGATGCCATGGAAAACTTCAGAAACCTGTAGGGATATGGGTTTTTTGCCACTATAATGCCATTGTGGGGGGAAGTCATGATGTTAGAAATGATTAACCTGCAGTTTCTGGAGCACTACAGATCTACTGCAACTATGTTCAACAGCCACATGCAGCTGAGGAACATTTCTTCTTGGCTGCTCACAAATTATGTCATTTTGCATGCTGTGCTGCATTAGTCAATGGCAAATAGGAATCACTGTTTACATAAGAGAGAAAATGCAAATTTCCCCCCCTTGAAAATCTCAAGGATATGACAACAGTATCCCACACTGATGGAGCAGTTACTCGCCCTTGGCGACCGCAGAGTTGCAGATGAGAGAAAATGCTTATTTTCTTGACATGAGGCCAGCCCTAGGAGTCTAAAAACATAAATTTGTATTCAGCTCCTGCAAGATGAGAAAACTAAGATCAGTTGTAATATAAATATGAATTGGATATAGGAATCAGAGTTATAAAGCTGGGCAACAATTAGTCATTGATTTTTTTAAATTTTTTTTGTTAAATAGGACAAATAACATCCCTGCGGTTCCCTTAGCACTGCCGAGAGGAGAACAGACAGGCAGCAGGACTGCATCTGACTGAGGGGTTGCTTGAACTGGGATGCAGGAGGGCTGGGACAGGGCCCTCCAGTCTGCTGTGGGCTGCAGCTGACTCACTCCTCTCCCTGTCCCCGATGTGCCGGTGACGGCATGCCAGCCAGCTGCCTTGGAGGCTCGGGCAGCCTTTATGCCTGCACCTGCCAATCATGCAAATTGTGCAAAGGCTGCTGGGGGAAGGAGCCAGCTGCATGGCATGCCAGGACGCAGAGCAAGGGTGCAGCCATCATCTCCCACTTGGGCCGTGAAACGGAGGGTGGCGTAAACATGTCGCTCTCACGGTCCAGTTATCAATTACTTCAAGGACAGGTTCAGCTCTCCCAGTCTGCTTCTCCAACAGGGCCATACTGGGTTTTTGGACCACCCTGACAGAATGTGCCATCTAGCAATTAGATTCATGCATAGATGGGCCCGTGGGACATTACAACCATCTGCTGTCCTGAAGTATTGATACGCTGCCCCTCAGTCATCTGTTCCACCCGCACTGTCCCCAGAAGTCACCACGGTTCAGTGAAGTGCTTTGACAGACGAAGCAGGCAGGAAGAAAACTGGTTTTTAGCCTGATCCACTGCAGCACAAGAAGCTTGTGCAAGAAAGCGACCATGAAGTAACGAGGAGTGAAGACTGTTCAGCATCTACTCATGTAGCCTTGAACAGTCTTATCCCACAGCCTTGTATTCCCCTAGTGAGGCGTTTTCACATGAGTTTCTGTGGAAGTTCACCCTCACCTGGATTAGTACTACTGAACACTTGGGAATCAGGATTAGGGCCTTTCTCTTTGCTACTTCCACTCACAGAGAGGTTACCAGGCTCCTGAACTGACGATGGAACGGCAGAAAACCAGAGCATAGTGGTTAAATTGCTCCTCAGTGTAGGCAGTGCACTAAGAAGGCAATGCCTTCAAAATATGTGCAGTGTCAAGAAACAACTTGTGACATATTGCCCAAATATTGCTGACTCCCAGCCAATTAATGCTAACATTCAGCTAAAACCATGGGGTGTCAGACATCAGCTTCACATATTTATGGCCATCTAATTGATTTTAAGTACTTCTCTTTGTTAAACATTCAGAGGTGCTTCACCATTCAGTTTAGCTTAGACTTCAGCCATCAGACTGAGCTGGGAAAGGTCTTTTAAACAGCCAGTCAGTCTGTGTCAGATATGAACCAGCCACTTTTGGGCACCACGTTAAATAATTTCTGTTCTACAAGTAACAGAGCAGGTCTGCCTTTAATTACCAGAGAAGGAAGGGGCTGGCAGGGGACTGGCAAGGAAGAAAGAAAGAGAGAAACAAGAGGCAGATGAGAAAACACTGCTGGTGAGGAAATTCTAATAGAAATTGGGTGATTTTGAGTGAAATCTGGCAGTCTCTGGCACATATGAATGCATTCATTGTTGCTAGTTTTGATTAATGACAGTTGTACAATAGTGTGCTGACAGTCACTGCCATACAGACACAATTTTTTTTGATATGAAACACTGCTGAAAATGCAACCCAATCAGATTTGGCCCCTGAACAACATGTGCTATCATCACTGTACCGTGAATTGAGATTGATTGGTAACCAGCTGTGACAAAGTGGGAAAAAGAGCCTTGTCTTTTTCAAGAAAAGAAAAGAAGAAAAATAAAAAACTGAATTGTGTCAAAACCATTACCATCTGCTCAACTAAATAACAAATAAAAAAACCCACATTGACTGTTTTTAACTATCACAAATTAATGTACTGAGGTTGAATTAACGTATTGACTTCAGCATCTAAGAATAAACTTGAATTGAACTGGTTTTGTCACAGTTATAATCCCCCCCGTTCAAAAGTGTATCTGTTCATACTCAGCCATCAATCTTCCATCGTTATCAAATAAAAAAAGAGAAAAAAATTCACTGAACTTAAGAGATTTAGCAACATTTTTTTTTTGCATTCGATATACATTTTCCAGAGTGTTTCACAGAACCTCTAGTTTCCACTTTTTCAAAAATGTGCAAACAGCTATGTATAAAAATGTATGCACTTCTTTTGCCTTTGACATGCACAGGTAGCAAAAACATGTCTGCAGTTGGAGTAATTACAATCCTAAATATCCAAGTAGGCCTAACTGTTAATACAAGGATGTACTTGCTTTAGCAGTGTATTTTAAAAGTCACAGAATTCATTACTAAATTCAACAAATCCAACTCAAAAAGTCTTGTTTCTTGCTAAAGGGAGCTTGCAAGAGGAAAAAGTCACATCTTAACTGTTGCAAATGAGGCCACGGGCCTCAAAAATTGAAATCTGTTTATATCAGGCATCTATTTTCTTTTAAAACATTACTGTAAATAAATAAAATAAAACAAGACAAAAATAAAAATAATCGAATCTTTGTATGAATGCATTGTAGGCTTTGCCTTTTTTTTTTTTTAGACATGGCACAAAAATGACTTTGTTCTATTTCCTTTTGCCTGTTTGCCAGACTATTTTGCAAAACACGCACAAAGCTTCGAGATTACTCACAACATCGATGATTAGGGAGCCCAAATAGAGAGATGCTACTGGCCAAAACCAGAGTAAACAGGAGGTAGTTAAGGAGGCTTAAGCTTCTGTCTGCACTTCTCTTTTGTGGTACTGGCACTTCAGCTCCCAGCATAGTGCCACAGCTTTTCACT